TTTGCTATTACACGAATATTTTTATGTTTTTCAACTATTTTTTTGGAATTAACGACTTTTATGTTACTACCGTAACAGTATCCGACCCCTCCTAACTTGTTAAAAATTAAGGTATGTTTTATTTTTTTTTAAAAATTATAAAATACATTACTAACTATGATATTTAGTACATGTACATAGTATAATCACCATTCGCATTTATTAGTTCAGTTATACGACGTTCCATACTTTCTACCAACTTTGCAGTGAGCTCGATCAGAAGACGGTTCCATTCTTTGGTAATTTGACCTTTTAACGCGCTAACTGTTCGAATTTTTTTTTCTTGCTACATTTAATTTCATCAACCGCCACACATTTTCTATAGGGTTTTGATCTGGAGACATCGATGGCCAGTTTTTATGTTCTTTTCCACCTTTATTTTTTTGCGATTTTTGAGGTGTATTTGGGATCATTATCTTCTTGCAGGATCCAGTCCAAGTTACCTTCACCAAAAAGCTGGGAGGTAGAAGGCAGATCCCGCTCATAAATCCTATACATAAAATTGACATCAAGGTTCTGCTGGAAACACACTGATTTGCCAAATCCTGAAGACGAAAAACATCCCCATACATGAACCTTCTGAGGATCTTAACCGAACGAAAAATTTTTTTCCTCCCAATGAACTGCCAAACCTTTCTTTTTTGTTGGAACAGCTGAAACGTACTTTCGTCTGTAAAAATAACTTTGTTCCAATCAAAATTTTGATGTTGCTTCACCGGTTTACTCGATGCTTCTCTTTAAGAAGAGGTTTAGAAATGACTTTAGTATACTTACCTTCAGCCTTGTGAAGACGTCGTTTTATGATCCTCCCACTAATCTCAATACCCTGTTGTTCCATATTTTGTTGTATTTAGACGCTTGTTATATCATATTCCTTCTTTGTTATATTGGTTATTTGTTCATCTTGTTTCATCATTGTAATACGTGGTCGACCAGATCTTGGTTCATCACTCAAATCTTCATTCTCATGATATCTTTGGACTGTAGACTTACTACAACGAATCTTGGAAGCTATTTTTGAGAAAATCCACTTTGGTCCGTCTGGATGTTCATATCGTTTGGCAAGAGAAATTTCCATTTTTTTGAGACGAAATTCGATGATGATCTAAACTCCTTAAAAAAAGTTTCACAAACCTATAAAAGTGCTATATAGCGATCATATATTGTATCATACTTCACGTATGGAAAATTTGAAGAGTTATCATAATATAATTTTGGGCAACGCTGGGGCCACGACTGTATATATATTGTTTCAGATAAATTTATATATACTGATACGTATTCAGGATTTACTAAATAGGTAATGATTTGATGACGTAGAAAACTCTAATCGTCTAATATATATGTAATAATAATAATAATGAAAAGATTTGTTATCTGACAAAATAGTTCCACGTTTGCATATTAGCACTTGCTTGTGCACCATATACTACACCAACTATAATAATCTTACTAGATAAACTTGTACTATTTTCAATTGGTTGCCGTAATATAATCTTTTCTTGAACTAAATCACGAACGACTAAATCAAGTAACCAACTCTTTCGTTTTTAATATCTTTCTTCTTTCGGTTGGGTATACTGGCAAAGTATCCCATTTTTTTTGTTTGATTTTCGCAGTTTTTCCACCCCTAAACACATCTACCACATCGTCTGGTCCAATTTGTTCATCCTTTTCTTGTGTAAGATATTCTACTACTTCTAATAATTCTTTGACCTCTTCTTTGCCATCAAGTAACTTTGGGTTATTAGTAGTCCGATTAATACAATTATCGCAAACTTTACATACAGCTGGCTTTTCTTCATCAGGTCATGCTTGATATTGCCAAATTAATTGTTGACGACATTCATATTGCGAATTACAATAATAAAAGACTTCAAAAATTTTCCTAGTAGCCCGTTCAAGCTTATTAATCAATTTTGCTCCTTAAGAGAGATATTTTCAATGATAGATAAACTATTAAATAAAAGGTCAAGCAATAATTAGTTGCTAAAATATAAACTTGCAAGATATGATGATTTATACTAACGTTTCCCGACGCTCTGCCACTATAGAATAATTTATATGAATATCCTTTTTATTAAAAAAAAATAAAATGCCTTGCTATATTTCCATCACGTCCTGCACGTCCTGCCTCCTGAATAAGATTAGCTATAAAAGTGCAAATAATAATAACGATAAGCTAATAATAATAATAACGACAACGATAAATAAATCAATGTCTGCTAACTTATACTCATCGGTGCTCCAATGTGAATCACTACACGTATATTATTTGAATTGATTCCCATTCCAAAAGCAGATGTTGCGATCATTATTTGTGTATAATTAGACCTCCAATTATTTATTGCCATTTCTTTTTCGTCATCACGTAAACCACCATGTAAGTAATCTATTAAAATATTTGTTAAATTTTCCTGTAACTTATTAAATAAATACTCACAGCTGGAATGTGTCGCACAATATATAATTATGCGTCTAGGCAAATTGGTATTTATAATATCAATAATGTCTGTGATATATTGATCTCGGATTTCCTTTCGTTTTTGTACATTGAAAATTATTTCAGGTCGATGACTTGTAAAACCACAAACTAATATAAAATTATTCTCTTGTATGGCCAAGTTTATACAAATTTCATCTACTTCTGGTTGTGTACATGTTGCTGAAAGTAACATTATTGAAGTCGATTTCCAATGTTGTTTTAATATTTTCAGTTGTTCCCAGGCTTCTCTATAATTATATTACTAATTACATATCTTTAATGTTAATATTCATCATATTTACCTAAAATCTTGATATGCTATAACACAGTGAGCTTCATCAATTACGAAATGAATTTTTTTTTGTTCATAAAGTTGTGTGATAAATCTGCAAAATCCTTTATTAGATACTAGTTTTTCAGGCGTAACAAATAGTACCTTTATTAATCTGTATGCTATTTCTCCAAAAAATTTTTCTTGAATACTTAATCCCTGTGCTAAATTGGCATATAAGGTGGCACACAGAATGCCAGCTTTTATAAGTTCTCGCTGGATATAAAAAAATTATAAATATAGTGATACAATTTCAATACATAGAAAAATATTAAGTCCTAACTTTTTGATCCTCCATAAGTGCTTTAAGAGGACTAAAAATGATAGTTAAGCCTTCAAAACAAACAGCTGATATAGCATAACATAAAGTTTTTCCTCCACCAGTTTTCATAGATACAAATATATCCTTATTATTCAAATAAGCAATGATAGCTTTCATTTGTCCTTCCCGAAATTCATCATATCCAAAAATCTTTTTTGTAGCAAGTGATATTAGTGCTTCAATTTTTGGTAATTCTGGTCGTTGTTCTTTAAATGTATAATTATTATTAATTATCCATTCCCATAATCCTGTATCTATATAAAATGAACAGATACCACAAAAACCACGTGCATTCTTCTTTGCGAATATATTACATATAATATATTTTATCGTTGTATCAAAATCTATTAGAAGATCATGAAATGATGGCTGAAATATATTCTCATGAATTTGTTCTAACGCTTTGCTTTTATAGGATACTAATTCCTATTATACATAAATAAAAATCAAATTAATATTATGTATGTAATTATAAAATAAATATATACAATAATACATTACTTTATCAAAGTTGAAACCAGCAAGTTCCTTTTGATCATTTAAAAACTGCTTTTTTCTTTTTTCATTACGTTGTTGAATTGTACTACGATTTTTGATAACTTAACGAGATCTTTCTTGTACAAATTTCAAGATATTATATGTATCTGAATGTGAAAAGTTTTTTTTAGTAGCTGCCATACGATCATGACATCTAATTCATAATTTTGATCAAGTACTGCTAATGCATGTCGAGTACTATAAGAAGCCCAATAATCAATTCGTTTATCCAAGTATTTGAAAATTTTTCTGTTAAATGTTTCATTATATGAGGTACAAAGCGTGGTTACAAGTCCTTGACCAAGTGGTACACGAAAAATTGTGGTAATAAAATCTCGAAAATGATTAATTTCAGTTTGAGTATAATTTTTCAGTGTGGGATTTTGTAATCACACTTCTGAATTATCCTTTAGCCAACAAACATCACTCCAACATATACTGTGATCATCAAGTAAATGTAGAATCAAACCTTCTACTTGTATATATCGTGTTTCTTCTTCTATTGGTGTATTATTTTGATTATTTTTTTTCTAAGTCCAGTACTAAATATACAAGCATTAAAATATCGCATAATATGTTGCTCAAAAGGATATCAACGTGAATATATTTTTTTTACTGGCAATATAAATATAAAAAGTTTTTAAATATAATATTAATATTATAAAAATAATTATAAAAATAATATTGTACTTACATAAATTTTTTCGAATATTTTTACTAATGTTACAATTATTTTCAATAATTCCGTAATTAACGAATCTTTTAAAAATAATAGAAAATATGAAAATCTTCAAA